GGCATTCTGGAGGGGGGGGGTACTATCGCGTTTACAGCATTATCAGCAAAATGGCGCAATGAGCGCGTGGTGGCTCTCATCTCTCACGCGTACTTTCGGGCTCTAGAAAAAGGATGGAGGCGATATCTCACGCGCCCTTATCTCCCACTGGGAAGGATCATAGGCCTTGGCTGGCGTTAGGCTTTACTGGAGCAATTATGTTGTAGTTACGGGGCGCCCAAAGGTCATTGCACTAGTTACACGGCCTTCGTTTGCGGAAAGGGCGTGCTTTTCAGGCACAGCAAAGGAACAACTAAGACACTTATTCGCGTTAATCTTTAATGGTCAGTACGGTTTGTAGGCCATTTGGGCGTAAAAAACGCGGGGCACGTTTTGATCAGCCTGCCATTCTGCGCGTGACCTTTCAATCTGTTGCTATCACGTTCATTTTTTCGCCTTTGTGTCAAAACTGTGACTTGTTCTTCTAACACAGCAATTTTTAGCAGTGATCAACCATCTAACCTAGGTAACAAATGAATAGGTTCGCTGACCATTGTACAATTTATCCTTAAAAATAATTATTCTGAGGATCATATAACTTTAAGCGAAGCCCTTCACTCTGTTTTTTAATGGTGTACTGAATGGCAAATTACTTTCTGCCCTAACAATCACCAGAAAAAACACATGTATGCATGACTTCACATATACCACAAATACCCTTCAGCTAGCTCGAGTTCAAGAGCATAAGTACCTCAACCTATGATTTAAACACAATTTTAGATGAGACTCTCGCATCAACACCATCACGTCAACTGCCGTAAAAAACTCTTCTTCCTCAGAAGACACCTCCATCCTGTGGCAGCTGACATCAAGATTTTAGCATACAAAACATTTATCAAGACAGATCTTGAATATTTTAACAGTGCATGGCACCGGCACACTAAACGTAGCAGTGATTAACTTGAAAGGATTCAGACAAAGGCCATATGGTTTGTATTTAACAATTATAAAACTTCAGTCTCGCTGACTGAAGCACTAAAAAAGGTTGGCCATCTTAGCCTTGAAAATAGATCTAGGTTACTTAGAATAAAATTTATGTAACAACTACTACACAGTCAAGTAAACATAGACACCACAACATATATTTCGGTAACCTCATGTAGACCTACACCTAACACACGCTTCATGCCGCTAACTGAATAAACACACCATTCTAACTGCTTTAAATATTTCTACTTACCTTGAACCATAACAGAATGAAACGAACTTGATCCATCAACTGCTAACATTCACTCACTAGATAAATTTATGACAATTGAGGAAACCTTGCTAACACAACACGGTTCAGTTATATAATTCCCAATTTATTTCTTTTTATGTGCGTTTTTATGCTACCCTTCTTTTCGCGGAATGACCTTTAAAATTTGAAATTTACAGTTAACTTATTTTGGATTTTTGTATTTTAGCACATCGTTGTTTCGCCTTGTGTATTTCGAATTCTGCTTTTATGTATTCTGCTATAACCCCGTTTTGACTGCCTTGATGTCGTTTGAGATTGGCAGTACTTCCTAATAAATAAAGTAAAGTAAATAAAAACGACCATACTTATTGTAGTCCCCTCAAAATTTTCATTACACCAGCGAAGAAGATTTGTTATTGAAATGCTGACATGCGACATTTTATGACGCGAGAGTTTTCCGGATGAGAAAGCTCAGTGAGGTTGGGCGTCAACCAGTGGTAGATTTTGAGTCAGTGTTTCCTGGAAGAGAAGTATTCAAGATTTGTTTTCAGAACTTTGGTGGGAATTTGTTTGAGAGACATTTTAGCCTATAAGTGTCTTGGTTGTTTTTAACGTGAGATAGTATTGTAGCGCGTGTTGTTGTGTCCGTTGTTTTGAGTGTACGTAGTGGTGTCGTGTATCCCATTGTTTGAGCAACTTGTGACTGGTGACGTATTGTATTAAATTAATGCTGAATGTTCAGATTTGTAAGTTGTTTGCTCTGCCGTACTTGAGAATATATTTTAGTTTTAATATCAACTCCATTATTTGACTCGTTCTATGGACCCCGGCCAGCGCGCGCTGGCGCTCTAGTCAGGAGCAAATCTAAATTGTCACTGCTTTCATCGTGCAGTACGGAAGGCTGATACGTGAGCCCTTGGAATTAGCCCGGCGATTGTCACGGTACTAGTGACAATTGTTCACGTGTACGTGACAGGACCTCTTTTAGTGCACTGTGTGTCCAAAGTAGGGAGAAAGAGCCCCAAGTTTTTGGTAGTGCTATCGGAATAATTTTTTTAGTGTTTCATAACGTTCACGCTAACGACTGTGCAGAGAGTTTCGGTATATGGAGTAAGGCAGAAATTTTTGAGCACGCGGCTCTGCTTTATTCGGAAGCACCATGGATCCGATGTAGCAGCTTTGGTGAGAAGATTGATCTTTCTGGCGGCGAGCTACGAAAGTGAGTTAGCCAGAAGGAAAAAGAAGAAAAAGGGGGCGAAAGAAAATAAAGTCTGCTGAGCTGGAAAAGGAATGTTGGCGTTTGAAAGAGCCAAAGCGGAAAAAAGCAGTTGAGCTTGATAAAGAAACACTGGCGGCTGAGATGGCGACAGAAGGAGAGGCGAAGAAGTGACAGCTGGAAGAAGAAAATGAGGCTAAGGCGTGACAGCTGAGAGGAGAAAGGGAAGAGATTGATGATTGATACGTGGGGTTTAACGTCACAAAACCACCATATGATTAGGAGAGACGCCGTAGTGGATGGCTCTGGAAATTTTGAACACCTGGGAGAGAAAGCGAAGAGAGATAACTGATAAAAAGGCAATGGCAGCATGAGATCGAACTCGAATGGCTTCATTTGCAGCAGCGAAAAGTTAAAATCCTGTTCAGGCTTGAATTATTAGCAACGGAAGAAAAGATAATAGCTTCCCCTTGAGTCCAAGTAAACTGCTTGTCGCATATTCAAGACCCGAGTTCTATACTAAGATCGTCCCTATATTCAGACAGCTCGTGCCTAACTTCTTCTTTCTCCTCCATTCTCCTGCTTGTTGTCGCGCAGGCGCGATCATCCGCAACATATTCCCAAGAGGCCAAGACGATCACAAGGCAGCCGCGCTAGTCAAAATCACTTGCCTCGCTTACTTGCCTCCAGAATATATGCTAACAAAACCAGTCGCTTTCCTTGCTTTTCCCGAAGCTAGTCACTCTAAAACATTCGCGTAATATCATTCATTCTCTCCTGGGTGCGCTGATCACACTGTTCAGCTATTGTAGCAATGAACGTTCGCTACCGTCAACGCAGGAACACACTTCGCAGCTCCCAACAGCGAGGCCTTTGGCGTTTAGACTGTAGCACAAAGGACCGTGTCGATGCGTTTCCTATCAAGTGGGTGATCCGGTCTGACCAGTCTTCCCGCCAAAGATCTCCCTCGAACTTCCACTAGACGACTGGTTGGCTCTGGAAGACGAGCAGCAACTGCATAACATCAGCGTTTAGCCTTGAACTATTCACCAAGCATCGTTGTGGCAGGCATGACCTAGCGCGTGCGTTGAGGCGTCAGACACAGCATGAAGCCTTCGTGCGACAGCATTTTCATGAATCACTGCATGATGAGGCGCATAATAGCCATCACACTGTGGCTGTGGTATTTCCAATCATCTTGTCTGTTTTTTTAAACGCCGCTGTCATTGCCTTGCTACGCTGTCTGTACTGTTCAGAACGTTTCTTGAACCAGTTAACTTGCACTTGTGGATAGCCTTCTCCCAATTATCGATGATCGATGCCTGAATGTCTACCCAAAACTTGAGGTTTCTGCGGAAGCTTGTAGCAGCAGTCAAATTTGATGATGCCATGTTCAGATGTGGCAAGTTCAGGTGGAGCCTTGCTTCTTTTCGCAGGAGGCGCCTTGATCCCCATAATGCCGAGACGCCACATTGCAGAAGGATCACCGTTAGGAACAAACTTCGTGCTACAGTACAAGAATAGAGTGCTCGTGCATGCTGAACTTCTCTCGTGTTCCATGGTGCCATGAACAGTCTAGCCTAACTTGGTTTCCATGGCCGTAAGATCACTGGACAACTGATCTATCCTTCCAGTTGCCACTTTATAGTAGACGTTGGAACCAAGTAAAATGCTTACTTACTGTGAGTGCCAGGTGTCGGGATGAAAGTTGTCTGCCGCATCATAGGTCTAGTCACAAAAAAGCTGCAAAACATCAGCACTGAGTGGCAGACTTGTAACTGCAAATACTTCAGGTGCTTCCAACGCCTCCATGGTTATCGTCATGTTTCTACGTTGGCATCGTAGAGTCAAGGCTACCCGTCGACTGCGTGTTACTTCGCGGCGCTTCCAGTGGCTGAACGTTATCAGAGAAAGTTCTTCTGTTCGGATAACCGGGTTTTGGATGTCCTTTGAGACATCTGCTCGGATGAATGTGCGCTGGCTGCCGCTATCAAAAAGAATGCGCACGAGACGCTTTTGGGAACCGCATTCGACCCAGACTCGTTCTGTTTGGAGAATGGCGTTGATTGCACTCAGGCCACTTGGGGCCGATGTCACTGAAGCCGTAATAGGGCCTCACCCTGCGACGCGCGGGTTGTCCTGGTTTACTGTCATCGCGTTGGTACGGGTTGGGGCTGCTGGTATGAACAATTCACAGAGGATAGTAAGGTGTCGTTGGTTGCACTTACTATAGTTGTTGCTGCGTGCACGTCAGCAAAAACGTGCCATGTGGTTTTGCAAGCCGCAACGGTAGCAGCAGCGAGCAGTGCGCAACCGAGCCTGTTTTATCTCAGCCGAGACTTGAACGTTTCAGTCCGCGATGGTGTGCTGACAACTGCTGCATAAAGGCCACACCTCTTCCGTAACTGTAACATATTCGGGAGCAAGTGCGGAAACTATAGGCAAATGTCCCATCGCTGCCGACAGAGGTTCGACCTCTTCAGGCCGCGACCACGAGAAACCAAACGCTGTTTGTTCTGGCCTGCTTTTTTCTTGAACCTCAATCTGAATGCGCAGAAAATTGAACTATTCGGCCACTTGGCGAGCTCTCTGTTCAGCTTTTGCGAAGCCGGACGTTTCTTGCGGTGCTTCCTGACCCTTTTGGCGGTAGAGAATCGCGAGATCAACCGGCAGACACTTCATAAGGACGCGGTTGAGGACCATGTCGTACTGGTCCGGAGAGACGCCCAAAACGGTCAATGTGGAGACTCGAAAGTTGACCTTGTTTAAGAGCAGGCGAAGTTTCTCCACGTACGCCGACAACTTGACTGGCGCTAAGGCGAGGTCGACGTGCTCGTTGACAAGCAAGTTGCGTCGACCAAATCGCTTCGTCGAGGTCTTGATAGCGATGTTGTAATTGTCCTCGGTATGTCGGATGCCTTCGATTGCTCTTTTCGCTGCACTGCTCAAATAGGACTGCAGGTGCTTGAACTTATCGATCTGTAAAAGGTCTTCATTCAGGTGAATCGTGCCAGTGAATTGTTCCCAGAGGGAACGCCAATCGCGAAGTGTGCCGGAAAACGTCGGGATACGTTGCTTTAGCAGGACCACCGTGCTAGGACGCAGCATCGTTCTTTGACTGGGAATCGCATCGGCTACTCGAGAAGAGTCACTGACCTGGCTCTGGACTGCGGGGATGGCACCACTGACGTCCGCGTTCGGTAATGCAGCCACCGACTTTGCAGCACTCGTTAGTGCGGCCTTGTCAGCGGCTTCTCCGAGGAAGAAACGCGCTCGTGACACGGCGTAAAAGACCCTTCCGTCTTGCTCTTCCGCGACCTCGAGCTCTTCCTCGTAGTTGTCATTGTTTGTCACATCGAAGATATCATTGTTTAGGGTGACGAGTTCGGCATTATTCTGAGTGAACTAGGCAACGTTGGAGTGGACCTGACTGGCATCGGTAACAGAGGCTTGCAGCTCGTCGGTCAGGAGCGTGATAGTTCATTTGACGCTGGCCCTGACGACGCCACGGTTCTCGCACAGCCAATTCAATGGCGCCATCGGAAGTACAAGTCTTGGAAGGGCGTGAGCGGGGGGTTTAGGCACTAGAAAGATGTCGCGTATTCAAGACTCGAGCCCAACACCAAGAACGTCCTTTTTTTCCACAGCTCGTTCCTAACTTCTTTCTCCTCCGTTCTGCTGCTTGTTGTCGAACGACCGCAATCATCCGCAATACTGCTCATAGCATTTGACCAGAAAAAGGATGACCTTGACACGCACCTTCACAGATTTGAAACGATTGCTAGTAGTGAGACTTGGCCGAAACATCAATGGGCGACTGCTTCGAGTACTTGCTTGAGTGGCTAAGCGCTCAGTATATACAGAAGCCTGACGTTAACCGTTGCAGCTAATTAAATAAATGTGAAAGCTGCTTTGCTGAAGCAATGCGCATTCACCGTAGAAGGCTTTCAAGACAGATTTTAAACAGGAGTGCAAACTGATGGTGAGACGGCTACGCAGTACATTGCCTGACTTAGCCATTATTTTTAAAGATGAATCGAGCTTTCTGGGACAGCACAGGATTACGCTGAGCTTAGAGAATTCCTGATTAGAGAAGAATTTATTATCAGTTGCCACCCGAGCCTGTTGCTGTACTTGAAAGAAAGAAGAGCTAAGACACTGGAAGACATGCCTGATTTGGCCGATCAATTCCTGGAAGCACAAGGTGGCACAGATTTGTCCAAGGTTGAGAAGGAGTGTCCCGAAGATTCGGAGAAATGTGCACCGAGGAAGTGCGCACTGGAGAGTTACGCGAAGTTTGCTAAGTAACCGAGTGTGTCATCGTGCTGACAATTGTCGAGCTAACTTTGCGCGTCCCAGTTTAAAGAAATCTTTTAAATGTGGCAAGACTGGACCCAGGGCAGACGCATGCTGTAACGAAGCGAGTACAATACACCAAGTAGCCTGTGTTAATGCACTACCAAAATTGATGATGAAGTCGTCAGTGACGGATTCATTGAGTTGAGGAACGGGAAGAAACTGACTATCGGGGGGGGGGCTTTAATGACAACACGGTCAACAGGTATTATGAAGGGAATGCCAACGCTACCTGTAAAAGTTACAGCAAAAAATTACAGTGTTAGGAGACACCGGAAGCTCAGCTGTTATCGTACAGGGAGTGTTGGTGCGGGAAAGATAAGTAATAGGTAGAACTAGGTCGGTTAGCCTAATGAACTGTTCAGTTTCAATGCTTCCTGAGGCGGGGATTGGTGTCGAGACACCTTACTTTAATGGGAAGCTTAGTTCCCTGTGCATGACGAACCCCCGTATGACCTGATCATCGGAAACAACGACGGGGCGTGACGGTCTAATTGTTGAGAGCGATGGGGGAAGACAGTAAGATGCAGCCTTTATCAACGCAGAAACTGTGAGATAGAGTGAATGAGAATTCCATGAAGTATTCCACCGAGCTCGAAGTCAAACCGTAGTCTAAAGTAAGCAACACGAGGTCATCGCACTACGGCGTCTCTCATAATCGTATGGTGGTTTTGGGACGTTAAACCCCACATATCAATCAATCAGGTCATCGTGTCCAACGGCAAAACATGCCGTGCAGGTGAAACTGCAAAAAACGACCGCCGTCAACAAAGTGTGAAATGGTGACAAAGTCGGTAGGTCAGACTTCATACAACGTCGTGCTTAAGCTGACGAAGAATCAGCAACGACCGGAGGAACATAATGACAACTTAGATTTGTCGAAAGTGTCAACGATGGCAGAGATGCCACCTCGGGTACCATCGTTTGAAAATGGCTCGGAAGAAGAGAAGAAAGAAAAATAGGAAGAGATCGAACGAGTACCGCATGAAATAGCGCGATCGCGACATCAAATCTACAAGGTACATGTGCTGGGGGTAAACGAGAATGTTTTTGGATATGTGGATTCTCGTTGCGTTGTAATATTGTTATTCTGTGTCGCGTATGTCGAGTAAGCTGACGTGTCTTTTGCGGTGATGTGATGTGATCGATACGATAGAACCAGCGTTGTAAAGGCAGACCATTGTATGTTCGTATTGTTTGAAATGTGGGATGGAGTTTCGTACTCATGCACATATGTTCATACTTCATGTGTTGTGAAATTGAAATGCAATGTGAAATTGTATCGAGCATTCGATTGTGAACATTATGTTGCATGAGCGATAAACTGGGTTAGGGAATCTGAATGTGTGACTTTATTAACGTAGCTCTTTGTTCACACTGAATAGTGTGGTTTTGAATATTACGAGATAGGGTCCTAAAGTTGGGGGCAGTGTTACGAACGAACGCTCAAGAAAAAGCACGCCTCAAAATTCTAGCGACAGCGGGTGTCAATACCAGACGCTGTTCAGACACAGCAAAAGCCAGCGTAAAGAAGAAAACGAAAATCGAAGAATCCCTCGGGTGTGCCGCTTCTTTCCCTCAAAAGCGCCACTAGGCTGACCAACCTTCTCGCATCTATCGCCTAGCGAACACCAAACGCTTTGTAAAAGAAAGCGGGAGTCACTCCCTGGTGACTCCCGCTTTCTCGTTCTGATTGAAGAACCAAGAAGGACGCGTGTTTTTGCGCTCCCGTCTTTACCCCAATCTTCGCTTCGCGCTCTTCACGCGCAGCTCTTTTAAGGGCTACATATAGCGCCTCAGCGAGATACCCGAAAAAAAAAAAACAACGCAGCGGGATGCCGTCCTGGCAGCCTCGGCATCATCTTCAGTGCCAAAACTGCAGCAGCAGGCCCAAGCCAAACCAGCGCGCTCCGAAAGAACCCAGGTGCAGAAAGTCAGCAGCCATCACAATGCTGCCGTCTCCCCGGCTTCAAGCAAAGCGAAGGCACACACCGGAGCTTGCTCGTCTCCTGCCACGGCCGTGGCTATCTGCGAGGGATACCCTCCTGGCAGCAACACCTACTCCTCATCTCCTTCAACCACTGCGGCCGCCGTGCAAACGGCGTCCGCCTCCATTGAGCGCGGCATGCCCCCAAGCACGCCTCCGCGTTCTGACAGTCCCCACGTTGCTGGCTACCTTCCCCCGACTGGATGTGCGGCTACCATCATCTTTCGGCCTGTCGGCAAAAAGGCAAACTTCCTTGCTGCTTCGAGGGATGCGATCGCCGCCTTTCTTTTGGGGTTCCCAGCCACCCAGCCAGTGCTGGTGAATTTCCGGTGCAACCTTGTTGCTGTGGAAAGCTACCCCACCGCCAATCTGACTGCCCTACTGCAGATTGGAACAATCTGTGCGGCCAAGGTTCGAGCCAAACAACTCGACCTGAACACCTGTGTTGGCATGGTTTTCGGAGTAGACCTAACGATCCTCTTCAAGGACCTCGCCGACAAAACTGCTTCACCTGTGCCCCTCGTTTCCGGTGTACGCAGAGGCAACTGCTTCACCCTCACCTTCGCTGGGACTACCATCTTGCCGGATATACTGCTCTATAAGGCGCCCAGTTCAACCCCGTCAGCCCTGGCCCCTGCAGTGCTCCCTCTGCGGCCGCTTCGGGCACGCAAGCACCACCTGATATCAGGACGAATGGTGCCTGCTATGCGGCATCAAGCACGCCCCAGGATCGTGTGCAGCACACCCTCGTTGCCTAAACTGCAGCGGGAAACACCCTGCAACTGAGCCCCGCTGTCCAGCCTGGCAACTCCATCGCAGGGCCGCGGTCATCATGGCCTCAACTGACAGTACCGTGACTCGCCGCCAAGCCCTGCAGCACGCTAGGACCCATGGCAGCAAAGCCTCCATCATCACGGGTCGCTTATTCTGGGATGCGCTCACCGGTATCGGCGACACGACCTCGGAGGCCTCCCCTTGTCCTGCAACGAGCGCGCCCATCGTCCCCACCACTACGACGACTGCCCCGCTCTCGTCCACAGCTCAGCCAGCCCCTACTGTCGTCGAGAAGTGCTCGACAGTGACGCAGACACCGCGCCCTTTTTCGCAACTGCTGGTTCCCGTCAGCGTCACGAGAGGCACGACGACGGAGCCCGCTACTGCAACCTTGCAGGCAACCTGAGATCCAAAAAAGGAACGAGCTCCTGACCGCTCTTGCTATAGGACTTCGAGTCGCGTTCAGGGCCCTATCAGCCGGTTGCCATGATGGCAATCTCTCATCTGTGGTCCTCCTCACTATAGAGGCTCGCGCCCTACAGTTTGGCATCAACCTGAAGGACTCACCTGGTTATCAAGAAGCCTGCTCCTGCCCGTTTTAAATCGTGCATATCACTGTGCCGCAGGCGTTTTAGGTGGTAGTCCTAGTCGACTGCGTGTGGCATACCTTCCCGCGTACGCTTATTCTGTTTTTTTTCTATTTTTTTTTCTTCCCCTTACTGCTACATCGCGCTGTGCACCACGCCTCTTCCTGCTTGGAGTTCCACGTGTCCTTGTTTACATGGGCTGCTCCGAGCTGCCTGACGGCTTTTTCTCTTTCTTTGCTTCTTTTTTTCCTTCATTTTCTTTCTTATCTTTTTCCTCTTCCTATTCTAAGTGGGCGCGTTCAGCCTTTGCAGCAGACACTCTCTCCCCTTCACTATCGGTTCGGGAGCGCCCTCACTTCTTTCCACTTGTCCAGTGGTTTCTTTTATTTTTCTCTCTTTTTAGG